ATGATAAAGATGTTCTTTTTCATGGCAAAACTACATTTCTCTCTGTTGACCAAGTTTGTTACATTGCAATAGTATTATAACAGCAAACATACAGCAATGCTTTTTTAATTTCAGAACTTCACTATTTTAAGTACACATTATTGATTAACCTGTTTATTTCTAACTTTGTTTTTATGTTTAAAGTTTTTAAACCATCCTTTTATAGTGAAAAGTTAACCAACAAAAAAAACCAAACCATTAATTTTACTATAACTTAATGAAAAAACAGCGTTTTGAAAATAATCAAAAGTCTAAAGTGACATTTTAAAGATTTAGAGCATTACCAGATTTGAAATTTTGTTCAAAGAAAAAGGGAGTTGACTTTTTTATTGTTTCTAGTTTATTCTGAAACAGTTCAAAAGAACTCGACTTTCGGTATTATTTTATAATAAAAAAGTTATAATTTATTGAATATTAAATTTAATAGAAAAACGATTAAAAAATGGAATTATAATTTAAAGAAAAACTGTATTTCTTCAATAATTTCAGAGCAACTTGAGCAACTAGTTATTGAGTGTGACTTTTTCAATGTGGTTATAACACAAACTTGCGCTTTCTAGTCTCTGTTTTGAGGTCAAGGCTTTGGACAAGTTTGGGGAACTGTTTCCATTGGAGTGTTTACTTTTATTGAGTGTTTTAAAATAGAAAACACTGATTCAGCAGCACATGATGTCGGAACATCACATGCGAATACACAAACAATGTGTCTTATTAACGTAAAGTCATCCCAGTTGGTGATAAAGTCAAACAGATTTAGTGAAACTTCACATGGTATTGTTTTGTAAAGAAATTCAATCTTTTCTTCAACAAAAGATTTTTAATTTTTTTTCTCGTCCATTATCATAATAAAATTTCTAAGTTCTTGCTCCAAATTCCCCAAGTGTATAAATTTGGGGTATTCATTCAAACAACTAGGATCAAGAAACTTGACAAGGAATTGTGGGATTTCAATTGGTGACATTACCTTGGCAAGAACTTCATCGGAAGTATCATCCAAACCTGTAAACAGGTTAAACCTGTCAGCCATGTCGCTCAAGAAGGGCTCGAAAAATGTGTTGACTCTCTCAGCAAACTCTTTTTTTCAGCAACTGTTTTACTTTGAAAAAAGTCAATTCACATTAAAAGGAATAGTTAAATGTGTGAAGCATGAGTACTTACTCCAGTGTGGTCATTTGCATCACAACAACTCTCTTGTGAATAACGAGGATGTTTGAAAACGTTCCTTGGAAATTTTCGCAAGCATTTTTGAGGAGTTTAAGAACCTCCAAAAGAAACGCCAAAAAGCAATAGGTTTTTTCTTCTGTCACATTAAAAATTTCGGGATTTTCTCCAAACCATTTCAGCTCAACTTTTTTTGGCTCCTATTTTTTATATTCTTTTTTTTGACGCAGAACAAAAAAAATATTTTTAATAAAAAATTTTTGCACCAAATTACCATTAGTTTTAATGATAAAAACTATATTTTGGTAGTAAACCCATCTTGTTTTACAAATTAAAGGTAATTTGTTTTTTGTCCCGCTTTCTTTTTTAGTAAAAATGACCCATTTAGCAGCAGTGTTGTTTGATGAAAACCAACACAAAAACTTCAACAAAAAATGGCCTCTCACAGTTAACCAAATTTTTTTTCCAGACATATTCATTCTATGGCAGTTACAATAAACACTAAAAACATTAGATATTGAATTTGTTTTCAGTTCTTTTTTAGATTACTAATATTTCAATATTTTTATATACACCATTAAAATGTTCTGAAAAGTATTGAGAAACAATACCAATGAAAAGTTTATTGCAAATTTTTTAATAGCTTTAAGTGACTGATGGTATCAATGCTTTGTTACAATTTTTTTATACAATATTTTTAATATATGTTGGAGAAACTTTACATCGTTATTATTTTGAGCCGACTGCAGAAATTTACTTGCATTTACCTTTTTTATCATACACAAACCTTACTCAAAAATCATTATATTTAAAATATAAACAATTTGGATTATTAATTGTTATTTGCTTTTATTTGATTGGTTGAGTAATTTGAATTTTTTCATTATGTCAACTTCTAAAAATAAATTCTTCGATTTCTTATTAAAAACCAAATTTTTGTTATCCAAACAATCACCCAACAATAGTTCGAAATTGTATTAAATCGTGGGTTTAGTACTAAGATAAACTGTAGTTCAAAAGTCTGTACCGCCGTATTTTTAGAACTTCCTAAAGTCCCGTTTTTTATTTTTTATTTTTCCTAAAAAACAAAAAAACAAAAAATTGAAAGTACAGACTTTATTTTTAAAAAAATACCAATACCCTTCAATTATTTTTGTACAATATCGGGAAATTATCGGAATATTAGCCAGCCTTTTCCAAAAAACCCGATCCCATTATTTGATTTGACCACAACTCGATACTTCACAACACAAACTCAATGTTGTTGGTCAAATCATACAACGATAAACACGTTAATAAATTGGGATGTTGTTGTTTGTGTCAATTTGTAACTAAATATCAGTTTCGTTAGTTTTTCATTTTAATTAAAAACAAACATGTGGTTTTGTTTTTAAACAAAAGAAAATGAAATAACGAGTTTTAAAGAAAAAATAAATAAGAGCAAACAATTAATAATTTTGTGTTTTGATATTTCAGTCATTGTTGTGACAACACCGTCAGTATATCGATATTACGCGATACTTTAGCGCTTGCTATTTATTTTATTTTTTATTTATTATAAATGAAAACTCGATTTCAAAAATTTTATTCATTTATTTTATTAGATTTTTATAATATAATACACTTTTGGGATCATTCACAGGTTTTTCAGAAACAAAAATCCCGTTATTTCAAATTTTATATGGAATTTTTTAATGCTTAAAAATTCTTCAAGTAAAAAAATATTTTTTGAAGACTGTTTTTCTCTTTTTTACTTGGAAAAAAATAATCGAAAACATTACAAATAAATAGATTCCCAACATGGTTGATCAATTTTCTGCTTTATGCCAAAACTTTTTAGGCCTTTTTTCACCTAAACCTTAATCCTAATACGTGTCGCTGACTGTGGGCGATTTCTATATTTAAAAAAGTAGCAGTTTTCGGTTTTAAAATTTTGAATATAAGGATTGTTAAGTTAGATTCTTTTATACCTAACAAATGGGCTATATTTTCCACAAACATCCCGATTATTTCAAAAAATATAATGTATTTTTAATAGAGAAACAATAAAAAATAACAGCACTTACAAACGCGTCGTTTCAGGTGAAATAAAATGGTATAATAATAACAATAATATAGTATAACAGTCTTTATTTGGATTAGTTAAATAATTGGTATTTTTACTATTTAGATTGAGAAAATTATAGGTTGTGACATGGAATAAATATAATATTAAATATGGTTTTTGAATAATTTTGATTAATAGTATAATTAATTATAATTTACAATAAATTTTTAAAAATATAACAATTATATTAATAAATTTAAATTAACTATATTACATAATAATATTGTTTTATAATTAATTAATTTATAATTAATATGGTTATAAATAACAATGTTAAAATTATAATTAATAAATCCATATATTTATTATTATTGTATTATATAAAATATAATTTGTAAGTCATCTATAGTTCGGTCAGCTAACGGGGTATATCGTTAACTATCCATATGGTATTTAGATTACTTTTCAAATTGATTTCACAAATTACTTACCATCTTTGTCACATTTGATTCATTGTTTATATTATGTATTCATTTATTAACATTATTATATTAATTTGTATCATCCAACTTGAACATGAACATTTATTTTATATCACATTTTTAATAATTTTTATTAAAATTTAAATTTACTATATATTTTTATTTTATTAACAAACTATACTAAACAAAAGAGTTAACCAACCCCACCTTAAGAACAATCAATTACATTAACTGTTATTTTATTTCTTTTGCATGAAATTACTATTAACATTATTTATTATGGGTTTTTATGTTTATATTAATTCATTATACTAATAACATGTAACACTTAATAAAATGATTATATTAACCATTTAGTATTATATTTTACTAAAAAATAATAACTATTAATATAATAAATATATTAAAAACATAATTAATAATAATTAGTTATTATATATGTTAATGTTTATTTGAATAGAAAATTTACAAGTAAATATTTAAAAAATAAAAATAAATAACTGATCAATATATACAATGTAATGAGTTATTTGAATATGTTTATGATTAAATTTTATAATGGCATATTCTTTTTATTACAATGTTGTATGTTATAAATTTCAAAAAGTAATTAACACAAGAAGGTTTTAGACTACATGCATTTATCAATCAATCTATTTAATCACAGAAAGTTGATATAAAACTTGACTATCCTTCAAATCGTTTATATTATTGGTTTTTGAAAACAATAATCAATTTGTTTAATAAACAGAATAATATTCACTCATATAATTAATAACATTTAAAACACACTATTAGATACATTTAATCAATTGCACTTATATCCATTAATTCGTTTTTGTGGCAATAGTTATAGCACCATATTATATTGTTTTAGTTGATTGTGTTCAATTGCTTGTTCTTTTTGTATTGTTATTATTTTTTGTATTATTAAACACTAAAAAACACAACACATATACTCGTTGCTGATGCCTCAAGGAGACTGGATTAATATTGAATAATGAGGTCATTGAATAGTGTAAATACCACAAACTACATGTACAAAACAAATTTAATTTGTTTATGACTTGGTATCACATTTTTAACAAAAGTTTGAGTTTATTAATGTTTGAAAAGTTTCAGAAAAAATCTAAGGAAAAACCCATATTTTACTCTAAAACGAACTTAAACA